AAAAAAAAAAAAAAAAAAATAATAAATACAAGAAAACAGTGGGAAAAAAACAACAAAGTCAACCAAAAATAAGGAGTAAGCATTAACAAGTAATAAAAGGGAAGGAGGCAACAAAGGAAAAGAAACACGGAGGAAAAGAGGGAAAAAGGAAAAGTTGCAGAGAAGTCTTAGGGAGAAATGAACGAGGGGTCCATAACGGAAGCACATTTGCAATAGCATAAACGTTACCGCCAAACAGTAGAAGAACCGCCCTGCGCAGTAGTTTTCCCCTCCACACATACACACACCACCTTTTCGCCTTTATACAATAAGGGGGCGCACAAAAGTGAAGGAGGATAAACAATCAATGAAGTTATGAGGTTAGAGAGCGGAAAGATTACTTACATGTATGTGCCCCACGTTTTACATGAGTTTATATGTCTTGAGTAGCCATTTGTGCTGATTGATTTGCACCATCGGCTGTTGTGCGGCATGCTCCAAGGCGTTTGTTCACTGGTTCTTTCAGAACCTGCGAAAAGAAGCCATTGTATGTTGTACACACCATGACGCTGTTCCCACTTCCCCTCCCCGGCAGTCAGAATGGATAACAAAGAAAGCATCAAACTGTACGTAAAGAAAGTGATAGAGCACAGGGAAATAGAAAGCCAAGTGAAGAATCTGAGATTAGATATAAAAGAGCAAAATAAAGTATACGAAAAGACTGAAGATAACTTGAAGGCACTGCAAAGTGTAGGCCAAATAATAGGCCAAGTGTTGAAACAGTTAGAAGATGATAAATTTATAGTGAAGGCATCAAGTGGGCCTAGATATGTGGTAGGATGCAAGTCCAAAATAGATAAATCAAAATTAACCATAGGCACGAGGGTGTCATTAGACATGACGACACTCACGGTTATGAAAAAACTGCCATGTGAAGTAGACCCATTAGTATTTAACATGATTAGTGATATAGATAAAAGTGAAAATAGCAAAAGTAAAGTGAATTACAATCAAATAGGAGGATTAAGTGAACAAATAAGACAAATGAGGGAAGTGGTAGAGTTACCAATACTTAACCCCTTTTTATTTAAGAGGGTAGGAATTAAAACCCCCAAGGGGGTGCTACTGTATGGTCCACCAGGGACAGGAAAAACTTTACTAGCCAGAGCTATGGCATCAAATATTAATTGTAATTTTATGAGAATAGTAGTTTCAGCTATTGTAGATAAGTATATTGGTGAGAGTGCAAGAATTATTAGAGAAATGTTCACCTATGCAAAAGAACACCAACCGTGTATAATTTTTATGGACGAAATTGATGCCATAGGAGGTAGAAGATTTTCTCAAGGTACCTCCGCAGACAGAGAAATTCAAAGAACGCTCATGGAATTATTAAATCATTTAGACGGTTTTGAAGAATTAGGAAATGTCAAAATTATTATGGCTACCAACAGACCAGATGTGCTAGACCCAGCATTAATTAGACCTGGTAGATTAGATAGAAAAATTGAAATTCCTTTACCGAATGAAACTGCAAGAATTGAAATTTTAAAAATTCACGCCAATAAAATGACGAAATTAGGGGATATAGATTACGAATCGGTTTGCAGATTGTGTGACGGCTTCAATGGAGCCGACCTCAGAAATGTGTGCACAGAAGCAGGCATGTTTGCGATCCGGTCTATGCGTGATTACGTCATTGAGGAGGATTTTTACAAAGCCGCTCGAAAGATTAATGAGGCCAAAAAGTTGGAAGGTAAAATAGAGTATGAAAAGATTTAGAACGGGTGTATGTCCGCTGTGGGGAAATGTTGATAAGCGGGGCAAGCAGGAAAGATAAACGAAGTTACACTAGCTTGTTAATGAGTGGCGACAAATGGTGACAAAAGTGTAACGGAGTTATGTAAGCACAGCCATACAGTTACACCCTGTTGCCAAGTCGGGAGTTATTTACATGAACAAAATTTGTTTCAAAACGAAAGGAAAGAAGAAAAAAAAAAAAAAAAAAAAAAAAAACGTCGTATATGTATTCCCCACAAATATTTTATGCAAAAGTTCCTGTACACAGATGCCCCATATGTTATTCCTTTTTTTTTTATATTTTTTCTTTTTTTTTATAACGATATACAAATACGATTATTTTATGCATTAATTAAACAATTATTTGTTTCCCCCAAACTTCAATTAATGTGTATTCTTGTATATGTATACGTATACGCTTGTGCATATATGTTACATATACACATGCAGACACGTATAACCACAGTTTTAAAAAAAAATTGAAAAATTTTACCCTTTTTTTTTTTTTTTTTACTTTTTTCTTTTTCTATTTCTATTTCTTTTCATTTCGTTTAGTTCAAATTCCATTATCTGCCTTTGTTCATTGTCTACCCTCTAGAAAAAAAAAAATTGCAAATGTGTTGTGTATACGTGTGATGATGAGTATGCACACATGCGATTGGGTAGGCACAATAATATGCACATTTTAATCGAAAGGTACATTATTTCGCGTCAGCCATGCAACTCGATTAACATAAGACCTTTGTTTTTTTTTTTTTTCCTTACTCGATTAAAATCGAACTCTAAGAGAGCAACTGTCTCGAAATGAGGAGTTCGTGGGAACGTATCCAGTGGAATGATTTCCTTGACCATGTAGCTGTGCAGGGAAATGTGAGCATAAAAAAAAAAAAAGGGGTAAAAAAAAGGGATGAAGTAAAATAATATGTGAAACGCCTTGTGTGCTACTGCTAAATGAGTAATGTTGCCTACCCCAAGTTGGTCAAATGATTGATGTCCCGAAACTGGCTGTTCATATTGCATGATATGTAAATGATGTACCGACAGCAGAGCCCTCTTAGCCATCTTCTGAACACCTATGATGTGCGCGCGGGAAGATGGAAACGTGTTGACGTAGCGCAGTTGGTGGGTTAACGGGTTAGCAAACTTGTTAAGTTGCTTTGATGTATCCATCTGTGCCTCCCCCTTTTGTTTCTTACTTTTTCGCACCCCTTCCTTGGAGGGTTAATGATCACCAAGTCGGGTACTGGAATAACAAATTCTGCGAGAGCAAGTAAAAGGATTAAAAAAAGAGAGGTGGAATAATTGTGGTGGTGAAGTATGTCTCTCATTTTCTGGCTCTACCCCGTCCTCCTTCGTTCTGCCATGAATCGCTTTTCCCCATTCGTTTTCCTGTTTTGTTTTTACCTCTAGACGAGTAGGATGCTTCGTCTACTTTGTTCGAAACCACGGTCAGAAAATTTCCATCCTGTTCATTTTGCAAAACATTGTCATCACAATATGTGTGGTCATTTTTGGCCAAGCTACTGCAAGCATTCCCGTTAGCGTCTTTGGAGGGCCATTCGTTCAAATGTGAATAAATAAAACTTGGAAGGTTGCTATAAGGGGAGTGAACCTGAGTGTGGAAGGGGACACAAATGTAACATGAGCGAATGGTTCTGCATTTTTTTTTTAATGAACACACAGATACGAAAAAGGGGCGAACGTATACCCACAGGCCGTTACACGGACACAGCCTCGAACATAACTATAGGCCTTCCCCCCCATCGTGTTATAACCTGCAAGTTCTCCACAAGGGCCCTTTCACTGTTTGCTGAGACGTACGTGGAATGAAGCTTCTCCTTCAAGAGGTAACACACGTCAGAATTTTTCTGCTTGACCAAATTGACAATGTACCTCCTGATGTGAAGATTGATTTGCCTCAAATTGTGCAGGTTAAATAAATTCAAATTGAAGCATTTTACATTTTTGACATTATTCATTTTAACGTTTTCTTCTAAGTTTTTTATATTATCTATGGAGTAATCTACACTGATAACTTGGCCGAATAGATCAGAAAGAAGGAGGGAATAAAAGCCAATCCCACAGAAAAGGTCATATACGCAAGATTGTTTGGCATTTATTTTGTAACTCTTTACTAATTTAAGAATGATCTGAACGATGCATTCGTTTAGGTATTGATTTGGCTGGAAAAAGGTGTTGGCCCGTAATTTATAAATATACCCCCCACAGGAATGATAAATGCAGTTTTGGCCGTATAGAATGACTTCATTTCTGTTTTGTTTTAATTTATTCGTTTCGACGTTATATAGAATGCCTTTAATGGATGTATTTTTGGAGGCTAAGTTGAGGGAAATATTTGTGAGGGCTTTTTTTGCCTTATCATTTAGGGAAAAGCCAATAAAGCTCACTAGAATTTGTACTTCAGAGTTGTTCTTGCTGAATTTGATGTCTACACTTTTTAGGTAGCCACTGTTATTTATTTTGTTAAATACGTAAATATGATTTTTTTTAAAACTGTCTAATATTTCCTTTTTAATTTGTTCATACACATTTTGTATATGCTCATCGTGAATGTGACATTTGTGTACGTCGCATATTTCGTAGCTGTGTCTTTTGTAGAAGCCTATTGATAAATTATCAGTGACGGATAAGTTGATGGAGGATTTATTTCGGTAATGGTAATCGTTTGCAAATAAGAATTCGTACATCCTTGTGCAGTTCGCATGCTTAGCGTTGGGGTTGTCCCCATGTTCACCGTTGCTTTCGTGACTCGGTATGCAGCTTGCTTCTTCAGGGGTGCATCCCCGACTGGTGCAAATGTCACTACTTTTATTCGTTTCATCAGCGTTGTCTTCGTCGTCCAAGTCGGTAGATGTATACTCCCTCTTTATTTGTGAAATCTCGATCAAGTCTTCCTCACGTTGTTGTTCCCCGTCCTCACAAAAGTAGTGATCATTCTGTAGGTAGTCTTTTCCACTATATAACACATTTATATTATACTTTTCACACAAACTAATTAACAGATTTTTTTTTAATTTCCTTTCAAATTTGTAATCGATATGTTGATATATACACCCTCCACATTTGGAAAAGTATTCACAGCGGGGAACAATTTCGTATTTACTTTTTTTCGTTTTGCAGAGCACTTGGAAGGTTGTTTTTTTTTTCTTTTTATTTATGTCCAGAACTTTTAAATTGACTTGCTCCTCTGGAATTAATAAAAAGAATTTTAAGAAAAACAGCAAGTGTTGTCTTGCTGAGTATATTGCAATTTCTCCGTACCCCTCAGGGTCCACTCCGTGTACCTGTCATGAAGTAAAAATGTTGATAATGTGCGTGGGAGCATGTGTACAAATCGGTAGGTATAATACCCTAGCAAGGGCACAAATGCACACCATGTTTATACTTATACTTTTATATATGTAGGGACGTCTCTCCTTAGGAGCAGAATGCTACCCCGATTGAATAAAAAACGGGATATGCTGCAAAAAATTGTAGTGTCATTTTTTAGACGACATAAGAAATAGCAAACTATATAAATAAAACTGTGGACATTTCTTTGTTGGCTTCTTCGCCATGGAATACTAACTTTGACTCCTTGTAAAATTTGATTCTCGTACAAGCCATTGTAAATGTTAGTCTTGTAAATTTTCAAATGATCATACTCTTTACTTTTGGTAAGAGTGATTATTTTACTTTCACACGTGTCGCTAATTTTTCTTTTGGAAATATGCTGGTGGAATAGCACACTTTTGAATTGATGGCGAGTTGGAAACTTACGCCAATTTAAATGATGCATTGTGTCTCATTGATCGTTTGCGTTGGGTGGGTTTAGCCCACTTGTTGTCAAGGGGCCGATAGGGAAAAATGGTGTGGGTATTTTCCCGATGTTGCGGCGCGGTGAATAAGTGTACACAAATGCCAGCATCCCTCCATATATCATGAACTGTGTCAGCCTGTTCAGGCATAAACAGATGGCGCGTTAGGAGCCTCAAAGTGGATGTTATTCACAGGGATACTCAGTTAAAAAATTCACTGTTTTAAAAGCACTAACCGTACCACTTCAAATTGTCAGGAGGGGAAAAACAAACAAAAAATTTAGAGAAATAAAATAACAGCAAAGTGAACCGAAAGGGGGAGTACATATAGGAAGTAACACATCCTAAAATTAATCATGAAATGTGATTACTTCCGTGTTGTGCATTTTTAGGCCCCATATGGAGCATTGTAATTCACCTATTTTATGAGGAAAAAAAAAAAAAATTCTTCCTGGAGCATGGACCAAAAATTGTGCCGTTGTATGCCTTTGAAAGCTGTAATACATTATGTGCAAGGCAAACCTGGCATTTTAATTTTACGACATGATGGATGTACAACAACTGTATTTGTTGCTGTGGAACAATTCTTTTTTTTTTTTTTTTTATACCACTGTGTGCAGTTTCACGAAAAACGTAAGAAATGTGCCCGAACGTGTGTTTATATCACACGTGATGTGTTTAAAAATATTTACGAATTTGGGGGCGGTGCTTGCTAACTGCGTGTATGATTCATATACACATCTTTTGTTTTGACACAAGAAAACCGCGGAAGGTAAAATATGAAGAGCACTAAAAAGGTGTACAATCACAATGAGAACCTGCAACAGTTGCCATTATTGCAAATGTGCACAAGTAAACAGCTTCCTTCATTTCTCCAATTGAACAACAGAAAGAAGTCATATGCTATATGCATATTTTGAGAATCTTCATCAGTTGGAACATTGCATATATGCAAATTCAATTGTTCTGTAGTGCGAAATTACGAACGTGCGAAGTTGTTATATAGCAGTGTTGCGGGAAGAATTTCGTTGCATGTGCGAAATAATGCTATGTGTACATGTTTAACGCGTTTGTTATATACGTTGTCTTGTTTTATTCTTAGGTGCGCGCTTTTACACTTTTTTAAACTGAACATATTTTTGTGTGGGACCTTGTTAATTCGTA